TTGAATATTAATGAAATTTTACACGAGCATTGGATATAGAAAGGTCGAAATTCGAAATTCATTACACATATTTTCGTGATTTAACGCGCATTAAGGACACGCATATTATGCGTGTGCTTACGACATATATAGATTTGACATGTTTCCAGAATATTTTCGAATTAATCGGTCGTCGTATCGCACTTTAATTAAAGCATTTTAACGATCGACAAGTAAATAAATCTTAGTCGCAACGAGAGAGTGTGTACCTTCGTTTACACTGCTTTCCAATCTGTCGAGCTGCTCGCAATTTTCCATCGAAGTTCCTATCCCGTATCCTGTTTACATCCACGATATAAGCTCATTTCCACCTAAAAGGACCATCCCGCACATGATATGAATACGCATAAGGCAATATTAAACTTCGCACAGGACTATCCACCGCGGATGCATGTCCCTTCTATCTAAACGAAACGTACGAGTGGTTAAGATAGATGTATATTCCGTACAGAGACACATGGCTGACCATACAACTTCTTTTCCCCTTGCTATATTTATCTCCTTTCCTTTCGCGTTTTATTCTTGGATTAAAGACGCATGATTCTTCTTTTTTACTCATCTATATATTACACCAGGGTTGGGTGAGTTAATAATTTTTTTTTAATTAAGTTAAGTTCAAGTTAATTGCTTATAAAATTAATTTATAAAATTTATAAAATTAAAAATATTTATTTCTGAGAAAATTAATTTAGTTAAGGTAAAAGTTGCACGAACAAAAAATTAACTTTTCGGTTAAAGTTAAGATTTAAATTAACTGAAGTTAATCAAAAGTTAAATTTCAAAAATATTATTTATATATTAAATTAGAATTTTGTTTGTTAATTCTTTTTAAATTTATAACAAACAATGAAATTTTGATTTTTATATAGAAATATATTTTTTTTGGTAATTACAAATTGATGACAAATGAATATAAAAATTAATAATACTTTATTTTAAAAATAATACGTTTCTAACTTATTAAAAAACAATAATGATATTTAGAGATAAAATAATTTAACGTAGAAGAAAAGTTCATAAGTTTATTAAGGTCAAAAATAAATAGTTAAAGTTAAAAATTAATACATTTTAAATTAAGCTAAGTTAACTTTTTAACTTTTTTTTAAACTTTTAACTAATTAACTAGTTATTACCCAACCCTGAATTACATTATATTTTTTTAATTGGATTGTGAATAAAAAAATATGTTTGTCAGAAATGTTTAAAATTACGCTCAATTTATCACGAATATTGTTTCTGATATTTGTTGTTGTTAATTAGAAACTTTGACATTCTTATCATTTACGAGAGGAACTGATAAAATTCGAAACAATATTGCATATCTCCATTTATTTTATTACTTCTTCGATCAACTTCAGAATCGATTATTTCTTTGCAATAAATTATTTGCTGCAATTTTTCACAATGTGCCCAACATTATATATTCCTATTGCTCTCTAAATTCTTTAATTAAAATATTGTTAAAGTTTATTTGAAATTAATCCAAGAATCCACTGGCATCTATATCATTTTCTCACTCGAAGCTTGTTTTCAAGATACATAATTTTGCAAAATAATAATGAGATTTTCGATATTTTTTTCGTGTAAAAAATGGCTTCTCTATAAACTAGCGAAAGAGTTAATCAGAAAATAACGTGAATGAATAGCAAAACACATGTACGCGACTGCGACGTGCATACGTAGCATTGTACAAATACTTGAGCACACACCCGCGCGTAACGATGGGTCCATGCATATAATGTCGGCGCGTATATTTGGTCGGTGCACAGCCAGGGATTTTAGCATGCGGACCAGGCCGGCCTTTAATGCTGAAATATCGTTGGAACGTCGCAGTTTCGTCCCCATCGTCGTCGTTTTGCCGCACCGAAATTTCAGGGTCCTTTCGCCGAGAGCGCAAAACCCTATTTAACCGTATACATACTCGGATCTGCCCTCTCGACTGCTTTGTTATAACGTCATAGTTATTAAATAGCGAAAAGGTGTCCTTTAGGAATGAAAATGTTCAATGCGAGATCATATATTCCCGGGAAAATAATTTTTATATATAATTATATATTGTATAAGATTATACATATAATCGTAAAATTATATGTGGAATATGTCCGTTTTTATACATAATATATATATATATATATATATATATCAAATTATATATGAAACATATATATTTATATATTAGGGTGACAGTATATAACTTTTTTAAATTTTTTCCGACTCTCACCCCCAAAAAAAAGTTCCTATAAATTTAAGCTTGATCGCATCATTTTTAAAGGTCGCTCAAGATTTTTGAAAAAATAAAAATTCACCAAAATTGTTTTTCTTGTCATTAATCATAAATACCCATGATTATCTTGAAGTTTGACTTAATCATAACAAACCTGCAGAATTTTATGAAAAAAATTAATTTTACGTGTTACACGGATTTTGTTTTTTGAGTTTTTTACAGGTTTGTTGTGATTAAGTGAAACTTCAAGATAATCATGGATATTTATGATTGATGACAAGAAAAAAAAATCAAATTTTGGTGAATTTTTATTTTTTCAAAAATATTGAGCGACCTTTAAAAATGATGTGATCAAGCTTAAATTTATAGGAATTTTTTTTTTCAAAGAAAACTATTATATGATAAGGTGAGAGTCGGAAAAAATTAAAAAAGTTATATACTGTCATCCTATTATATATGCTTATTTATTATATATAAATATAAAATTTACGCAGAATTATTATTATTATTATTATTATTAAGTGATTTTATAACATGGTCATGTGTGTCTCGTCATAACAAGATATACTATGGATGATGGATTTACACGGACGGAAAATTAATGATCCCGTCAACGGAATTCAATCTTTAATGCTTGGCCGAATTGGTTTTCGCATAAAATTAGGGCAAACGTCTCGAGTCGAGCGGCACAAAGCGATGAATTGTTAAGAGAAGAACCGCGACCGAAAGGAAGTGACGACAGCATCTGGAAGCTTTCTTGGTCGGAAAAACAAGCTGGCTGTCGCCAGGATAAGAGGATTAAGAAGATTCTGAGCGGGCAATGTAATGTTCGAGACCAATTACTCTCGGAACGTGGTTGATTCATAGCCGCAGTATTCGGGCGTTACGTCAGTTTGGACGAGCCAAGAAAAAGAAAAATTGCCAGCCACAATCGTGATTTATCACCCCTTATTGCGAATCATGAATCGGAGAAAAAAAAGCACGAATTTTGCACGAAAATTGCACGTGCATAAAAATAATGAATAATTAATTAATACGCGGAGAGAATTTTTTTTTTACAATTTACCCTGAAACTTAATTAAATCTACCACAAGAGCTACAAAATATGTTTGATTAATTTTATTATGTATGTATATATACATATATTAATATTTTTTATTCTGATAAATTTAATTAGAGAAGCTCTTATAAAATTCTTCCAATATTACCATGATTTTCTTAGGGTAAATTCTAAGAGAAAATTCTGTGTATATAAAGAAACTTATAGTACATTGTTTTTAATAGTAAATAATAAATGAATAAGATTCTCTACTTAATTCTTATTTGTATTTTCAATTTCGAGTAGTGGAATAGGGGATGAAATTTCTTGAAACGAGATATAATTTTTGAAATTTTAATTTAGAAGGATTTATTATATTAATACCGTAAAAAATAATTATATTTTTTGAATGAACTTTTTTTTATTATCAGAGATAATCGCTACATTAGCTTTAAATTGAAATAAACGTTTCAATTTTTTGTTAGTATTATAAAAAAAAATAGAGAAGTCAGTGAAAGACTAAAAGATAAAATTTGCTGTCAAAACGACAAATTTTCTACCAATCTAATACATCTTATAACTTGGTTTATCATATCTTACTGCGCAAGGATCAAAAGAAAAGAGTAGGACTTTCGACTAGAGTCGAAGGAAGTCGTAAAACGCTAGCAAGAGTAAGAATCCATCTTGCTGCGGAATCAAATCCGCACGATAACTTTGGACGGAAAAATTTCTGCTGATCGCAGGAGTGAAATCCCAAAGTGGTCGGACGATAAATAGCGGCGGCCGAAGTTCGGTCGATTTCTCACGGTTTTCATTAGAAAGCAACTCGTATTTCACTCTTTCTCATTCCGCCGCGACTCATCTCTTTTTTCTCCCTCATTAACGGCACGTTGAGCTACTCTGCAATTTTCTCGACTAGACAATAAGCATCGTTGCGAAAAAAGAGACAAATGAGAATGAGAAGCATCCGCTTCTCTTTCTCTCTCTCTCTCTCATTTCCGCCTTTCATAAAATTTAAGAACTGCCATGATTCTCTTGCGTTATTCGTCTTCATTTTTTAACATAGTGAGAAGCTGACAGGACTTCTTTCTACAAGCTCGTAGTTAATGTACAGTAAAAACGTATACGACATAGCTGTGAATACAGAGAGCACACAAATGTATCTTTTTTTTTAGTGATTAGTGTAAAAAGGAAAATATGTAATGGAATCAAAAAATGAAGAATTTAAAAGTGATTTAATTATTAAATACGGAATATAGAATTAATTAACTTTAATTATTTTTAATTTGTGTCACACATATACTTATTAATTTAATTTATAGAGATTACGTATAGAAACATACATGATGCTAATGAAAGCTAATGAAAGAGTCTCATTTTCTATTTTTTCGGGTAATATTATTTGCAAATTATTAATTTTATCGTATTAATTTTTTGGCACCTATATTTGTTTATTTTATATTGAATTTAATTATTCTATCCACAATCAGTAATGCTGAGACCTCTTGTGTATAGCATAGTAATTTCGTATTCACACAGCTTCTTCATACCGTCGATAACATATCCTAATAAAATTTGTCGATAAATTTCAAAAAACAATACAAAATGCATTTTTATGCAATACAAAATGCATATTTTTTGAAATTTTTTGCATTATTATTCATTCTCATTTCCTTATTTTCAAAAAAATATCTTGTATACGATATGTTTAACTACCCTATATATTATTTCTTACACAATTTTCTTTTTACATTAATTTCTTCAATGCATCAATTATATACTATAAGCATCGATGAAAATTATTATTAACACTGTAATCAAATATTTCGACACTTATTCTTTTTATAAGATTATAAACAAACTCGTTAAACTAAAACTGCTACTGTTTAGGACATGGTTCTACATCATTCACAGCTTGCCGATAATTGGTCCATATTTTCTTGTTATTAAAGCAGACAGTTCCACCGCCTCGTATGTATTGAGTGTCCTGAAACATAATAAAATACCAAATTTAATAAAACATATGTTTTATTAACAAATTAAATTAGTTTCTAAAGATATATATACGTAAAAGAGAACTTTAAAAAATCATAAATTAAATTGCGGAATTTTTGGTTACTTGAAAAAAAAAGCGATTAATTTAATTAATTCTAATAACAAAATATTTTAATATAGATTGCTCCTTAAATTAATTTTACTTATTTTCTTATTTAAATTAATTTGACTGATCTATTTTTAATACATGTGCATACTTACACAGTTTAGTGACATAATTGGCCAAATTTATTTTTGATAAGGATTTTATATACAATAAAAGTGCATTTACCGCTCGATTGATATCGCCGATGCAGGTCCAGGTTTGCTTAGATTTACCGTCTACTGCCACCGCCCATTTTGAGTGATCGCGGCTGCTTGTAAAATCAATGTTAAAGTCGGGCAAAGAAATAGATTTAACATTGTATACTCTGCAAAAGTTCAACGATTTGATTAAATATAAATCTAATTAACATGCTTCTCAAACGATCGAAAAAAATGCATTACTTTGTGCGCTCACACTCCGATGGTAATCTACCTCGTCCATTCAACCACGTTTCCGCAAATAAATCAACTCGCAATGTTGGTGCGACATAGTCATCGTATATCTCTACAAATTAACACATAAATAAAAGCACGTTAATTATGATATTAATTTTATATACACACGAGAGTATTTTTTGGCTTAATTTGCTGATCTCAATTAGCTAATCAAAGTGAACAGCTAGAAATGAAAGGTAAAAAATTCTCAAATTTGACAGATGTGTCAAAAAATAAATTACTTATTAAAGTAAACTCCGGTACATTGAAAGAAAAATAAATCCCAAATACGTGTACCTTTCTGCCACTTGTCGCTCTTAGCGAATGATGTAAAATTGACGCCACCGCGTGATCTGAAATTCTCTTTGTTGAAAAAAGGTGCTTGTCTGATGCGCTTTTGATTAGCCGCATCCGTGAGCACCGAAAATTTCTGGGCGAACGTGGCGGGAATGTTTCTTCTGTATACTATTATCTGATTATACATCATCTGTTTACCGATCACGTCGAGTTGATCCCCGTTCATAGAGATACACAAGAAGCTCTGTCCGAAATTCATCCCGGATGTTGGATAATCGTACTCGGACCGATTTCCCGGAGTCTGATCCTCCACATTTTGTCCCTACGAATTTTATTTATTATTAAATATTCAATATATTAATTATTAAATAAATATATATATATAATATATTATTAAAAAATTTAATATTATTTATTTAATATTTTCCTTTCATTTAAAGGGTTCTAAATCGCAGGGTTTCGTTTATGCAGTTCATACATATTTGAATAGAATTAAGTGAAAAAATGGAACCACTTTAATAATAAAACTTAAATTCATTAAATTATTGCAAAATCATAAAAAAATAAATAATAATTTTTACAGATTTTAGAAAATACTTGTAACACGACAAATTCATGTTTTCTAAACGCATACAAATTAATGTTGAAAAAATAACATTTATGTATGATAAAATGAACAATTGTCTGGTTCATTTAATTAATCGATCTTCCCTATTAATAAATAATATAAAACTTATTATATAATATATTTAATTAAATAATATACCTTATTATAATATATTTTAATATAAAATTTAAAAAATGAAATACTAAACATTAAAAATAGTCACTCTGATATATTTGAAATAATTATCTACCCGTCTTGTGTCATTGCCGCTGTTGGGTATAGGTGGATAATTCGGGACACTGTGTATTAACCAGAAACCTAGTTGCATATTTGCTACTACGACGCCCTTTGCATGGCCATATTTTCCACTGCTAGGTCTATTAGGCGGATCGTCGTTATACATGAACCAAAAATTCTTCGAAGCTACTGTCTGAAAGTTTATAATCGTGTAAACGAATAATTAATGATATACTGATTATGACAAAACAATGTAAATAAAAAATCTTTTTTCTTTTAAAAGAAAATTTGGCAATATAACTTTTGAAATGAAAAATTCTTTAAAATGTATAAACACTGATAAACATAAATTTATTAAATTAAATAATAGTTAATTTATGACAACGATTATTTTAAAAAAATTGCTCCATAACTTTATAGTGCAAATAACATAATAAATCAATCTGAATAAAAAATTGGTTAAATATAATAAATATTATGTGTATGATTTAATTTATTTTCTCTTACATCATTGTACAAAAGTGCCAAAGTATTTCCCGGTATAGAATTCTTGTCACTAATTTTTTTCGTAGATAATTGCCACCCTTTGTCAACAGTTTTATTAGTTATATATAAATACGCTAATCCTTCCCTAATTATAGGCTCGCTGCTTTGTGGCACTTTGGTAGCTTGTAAAGTACATACCTAAAATTGTAATAATTTTATTCACGGGATTGTGAACAGTTAATAATTATCAATTATCAACATAGAATAATTATAAGATTGACATTAAATTATTAAAACGATTACTTTTTATTTAAAATTTATTATGAAACTCATTAGTTATTAAAGTAATAACATATTTATATTATTAATAATAAAAAAAAATATTTTATTGTTTTCTCGATCTTTAAATAAATACAAATAAATATATGCGACAAAAATTTGACTGAATTATTAAGTTATGAGAAAAAGAGAGAGAAATAAGTAATCAATGTATATAAATATTTGTTATATATTTATGTTACATATGTATGAAATTTTGATATTATTTATAATAAAAAAAGGCTTATTTATAGCTCTAAAATATTTTGGAATTTTATAATTTTTAACAAGATCGATAGATTTTATCTTTTAATAATTACTAAAATCTGTGAAAAATATAAAATCATATAGATATTTCAAAGGCACTCACCAATCGACGACCTGGTTGTTTTCATCCCTGCACGAAGGGCTTATATTTACGGCGTTGCACGTTAAAAAGAAAATGTTTATGCACAGTAACAAAAACATTTTGAACAAAGTGTTTTCAGTGCTCGAAATCGGCAAAAATTCGTCGCACACCGTATTGATCTAGTGGTTTAATTAATAGTCGTTTATATGATGGCATTAATTAAAAAAAAAACACGCAGACTTGCACTACAGCTAATACAAGAGCGAATACTTATACCACTATTCTTGCGCTGATTACGTAATAAGGTAAAGATGCTGATAAACGCATATAATTACGCTTTTCGTAAACAGATCGATTTGAATTATTTTCGGTTCATTGAAGCGGATGTCGCACACATTTCTGTCTGAAAATGCTTTCTGAAACACATGTGAATTTATATGTAAATTTGCAGTTACAATAACGTTGATGTTTGTCGCAAAAATAATATATCTTTTATAATCATTAATTAGCATCATTCTACCAGAGAGAGAAAGAATCTGCTTCGCATTACACGTGAAAAATTTACATGGTACTTAGTAATAAACTGTTTCTTATCAAAAATTCAAATAATTTAACATGATTAAATTGCGAAATAATAAATTTGATTAATAGCATTCAATGAAATTTTGATAAAAGAACATTCCTAAGAAGAGAGAATTGTAGAAATCTATTAATTACTAAATAATTAAAGAATATATCGAAATATAATACAATTATTTTATATGAATAATCTGCGAACTATCTGTTTTAAATTTCCAATTTATAAAGAACAATAATTCCAATTATAAATATTATATTTCCAAACTATTACTATGTTGTAAATATTTCTGAAGAAAACTTTGATTATAGTAAATAACACTTATTTTTTTATTGTTTAACTTTTCGCATTAAAATTACAATCAAGATTATATTTTTTCGTGCAAAATTTTTAATATGAAATAATTTAAAGTAAAATTTTTATCAGACAAACACGCCCACGTAGCCATATGTCTCTTCCGCTTTTCGACATACTGCAAAAATCGATTAAAATATTTTAAAAGGGAACATATCATAAAACGCGTAAAATATTTAACGAGGAGGAAGCGCGATAGCGTCACTTCCGCACGCGTGCAGATAATGTCAGAGCGATGATACGTATATATATATATATATATATATCTCGCATGCGTCCTACGCCTATGTAAATTCACATATATGTAGCTAGCTTCGAGAGCGTAGCAGCGTCGTAAATGAAGTTTTATTACGATAGAAAGATGTAATGTGTGTCGCACAATTTACCTGCTAGCATAACTTTTCCTGTGATCTACTTCTTCGACTGATGATACCGACATTGTTGCAGGACACGCACATTTCCTGATGACGCGAATGCTACTACGAGGTCACAGAAGCATCCTCCCAATACTACGAGGTCACAAGAACAAAGACACGAGAAAGGACTGCTGACCGTAGGGATATCTGATGACGTCATGGATTTTTACACGCACGCGATGCACTCGGATGCAGCATAATATATATATGCCATATAATGCGTAAGATCTTTGTTCATCGTAAAACAATAAAACAAAAGAGCGATAGTACGTCCGAAAATAATTGTAGAAAATAACTTTGAAATATCTATATATAATAATTACTGAAAATATCATTAATTATTTTAAAAAAAAATAGATCATTGATTTTGAAGAAATGAAAGAAAAGAAAATATATGTTTAATATAAAATTACCTATTTTTATTGTTAAATGTATTGCGCATGTATTTTTATATTCGCATTTATCTTTATTGTAGATAAGCCTATTTCCGGCGCAATTTCACAGTTCTTTATTTTAATTTATTAATATTCTAATTTATTTATTTTAAGAGATTTTTGTCGTGTATTTATTATGTTTATTTCTTTTTTTTTTTTGTTTACTGCACTCTTCTTCTTTCACTAATTATTATGAAAATAATTTTAATAGGTAAAGAGGACAAATGAACACGACTCACTGTTTTGAATATGAGCGGGAAACCAAAATCGATAATCGAGAAGTTCGAGAGATCGATTGCACTGCGAGATATCGAGGAACCAGGAAGCGCAGAAAAAAGAAACATATGTTCAAGAAAATTTTCTCACAAAGGAATTGTGCATGTATTAACGTTCTCTCAACAATTTTATACACTTTCTACATTTCAAATGAATAATACAAAATAAACATTTAGAGAATGAAAAATTGCGACAAACAATAAGGTAATAAAAATTCGTGAAATTATTAAATGAATAAAATAATATAAAATAAACATTTATATATTCATTTTTCTGTTTTTACAGATTTTTCCACTTATATTCACTCGTGTAATATATTGATTTTTGCCCAACATCCTGACGATTTCGAGACGTCCTGTATACCGGGTGCCCGAGCCTCTACGTTCGCTCCTGAGGAATATTCAGCATTCCTCTGGATGGGAGAAAACATATCATCGGTTCATGGCGATCGCGAATACGCTGTGCGGAGTAAACCTGGTGCTGCGAACGTCGTAAAGATATCGCGACGAGGATGAGCGAGTCTGCACCGAGTAATTCTGCGTGTTCCACGTAAAGCTCTGTGTCCCATCTCTTCTTCTCTCCCTCTTTGTATTTTTCGCAGACGCGCTCCCTCTTGTATGTACAATTTGTATGTGGTGGTCTTGCCTCTGTCTCGCGAGCGAAGAGATGTAACGAGTGATGTAACGATGGCATCGTCTCGACGGAGCGAATCCACGAGTGCCTCTGCGACAGATCAGGCTGCTGTATATCGCTGCACGTCACTTTGATAACCAGCCCCAGGAGCGAGATGTCCCGATACGATTCTACAATGGACCGAGAGACGCTCGAATTATCGGCCAGTCGAATCTCGCTGCGGCTGATAAGAATCGCGCGCACGATTTAATCTTGCGGGTCTCAAGTCATGCAGCGATTTCATAAGACATTCTTACTCCGGAGCTTTATCGCGTCTGATACCGAATACAGCTTGTGATGACAGAAGCAGACTGACCCATATTTTTTTCTAATATTGGTTTGTATCATATTACTATATCTCACAATAGAGTATATGAATTTGATGTTTTTACATACAAGTTTCTTGATTCTATCAGTTTTGAGTTCTTTCTAATAGAATGAATGAGATTTTTTTACACACGCATATTTTACAATATTTGTAGTATTTATATATCTCTATCTAATATATATGTGATTTTATAGGTAGCAGTACGATGTATGTCTCAGGAAGTTCATACATAATGCATGTAGTATCTGCAAAATTATGAACAAGAATCTTCTACGGTCTAATTATTGAACGAAAAAAGAAGCGAAGAAAATGAACAGGACAGAAGGCACAGACGCCGGCAAGGGTTGGCGCGAATGTGCCAGCTGGTTGACGAGATGCGGCGCGTTACGAGCGGATCACAAAGCCAATTGGGCACAGGCGACGGCATTTGACCTGGCCTACACGTTGCGAGACGGTGTCTTGCTTTGCAATTTACTGAACATTGTGGATTCAGGCTGTATAGACGTGAAGGACGTGAATCAGAAGCCGCAGATGGCACAGTTCCTCTGTTTGCGTAACATAAAAGTGTTCCTATCAGCATGCTCGAGCGTTTTCGGCCTCACCGACTCGGAACTCTTTGAACCGTCCATGCTGTTCGATCTATCTAATTTCCATCGCGTTCTCTGCACGCTTTCCGCCTTATCCAACTGTTTACGGTTCAGGCGAAAGGGTATACTGTAAGTAACTTACTGTTTTCTGCATATTTTATCATGCAGAAGATAATTACTAATATCATGCAGAAGATAATTATGAAAAAGATGGAAAATAATCAGGAAATAAATGTTAATTGCAGTGGATTTTCTGTTGGTCATGGAAGATCACAGGAAGACATTTATAAGGACTTACAAAGTGCTGGCGTAGGGTAAGAGTCTTTGCATTATTGAAATATTAATGTTTTAGTAACTGACATAAGTGCACATAGTTTATCGATGAATAACTCCAAAGAACATTACGCATTAATTTTAAAAATCAAGGTTTCTTTTAAAGAAGGGACTTCTATTTTCTTTTATGAAATAATTCACAGACATTTTTAAATAATGATTTATAAAAGATTAAAGAAACAATTATTTTATTTAGTGTTAAAAAAGATAATATAGAATGAAGATAATAGAACTTTCTAGTAATTTGTATTAATTCATTTAGCGCCACGCCCGGATTAGTGGCGTTTACCATAAAAACTAAGGCTGTGGACGTAGATGAGTCTCAGGTTTATCAAGAATTGCTCTGCTTCTCGAGCAATTCTCAGCGCGATTGGCCTTCCACAGAGAAGGTACACGTTGTTTCACAGTTTTGCAATTTTAAAAACATTTTGCAAAAAATACATCATTTTATCACAAAAATGCATCATTGTATTATTATGTCAAGTACAAGTACATCTTAATTTATTAATATTAAAATATCCAAGAATGAAAACATAAATCGAAATTATATATTATGATTAAAACTTATTGGACAATTGCATTTTGATTCAAAAATTTTTATCTCAATTTTAATTTTATTTTAGTGTAAATTGTATTTTAATGTTATTACTTATTTCTAATATTTTTATAACATTAAAATTTCAACTCATCGCAATTATATAGCAAGCAATAATTGTAATTTTTCTAAATTTTTTTTAATTTTAAGGATGTTAACAATATTTTCATTATGCTATTTTTCTTACATACATTATATGAAAGATACTTTATTTCAAGATATTTGTTTACGCTTTATGAAATTATATTAATAAAAAATTTAAACTATTAAAAAATATATATATATATATATATATATATATTGATAATAATAACATATATTCTGCATACAACATGAGAGATACAATGATGGCATTGTTTTATTTTTTATGCTGAAATTGACACAGCGGCAGTATACATATTAATTGCAGTTGACATCTTATCATCAAGAACAAATTTTATAATTGTGCTACTTATAATTTGATTTCCGGGAATTTAGCACCTTCTGTATGCATGTATAGTGCATGGCTGCGTTCTTTTTGTTTTTATGCTAAAGCCGCGAGGATGAGGGTCGCCGAAGAAGGTTTAGAAGACGGGAGGGTGACGAAACGGGCGGCGGAGGAGATAACGAAGACCCAGTCGGCGAGGAGGACGGATACGGAGCTTTTTGCAGTCACGCGCAAAGCGAGGAAATCTACCAGGATCTTTGTAGTCTACATTTACCGCCTCCTCCGTCCGTTGCTCAGGTCATCATTTTCTTGCCGTTATTATTCATTTATTAATTTTTCATATTCTAATTGTTGGAACACATTCCAGAACTTCAATCATTTTCTTCGAAAAATTTGAAGAAAAAACAATTAGAGGAAGAAAATCTTGTATTAAAACGTACAAAAAAATGCATGAATGTATTAAGTGTTAATCTTAGCGTTAAAGATAAAAAGAAGACTAGCGAAGTGTGTTTTATTTATTGTCCACGCATATTTATGTACGATTAATTTTAGTATCATGCTATGCTTTACACTTCGCACAATTTAAACTGTAGTTTATGCAAAAATTGGTTTTCTATATCGAAATAATCTTGATACAATAGGACGGTGCCATTTCCGGAGGGGAGAAAAGGGATTATGTGATCCAGGAGCTTGTAGAGACCGAGCGAAATTACACGGATGTTCTCAGTAGTTTACTCAGGAATTTTGCTCGACCGCTGTCATCATTATTTCGACCCGAGGACTCTGCGCGTATTTTCTTCGGCATCAAGGAACTCGCGGAGATCCACGTGGGGTTCCACAGTCAGCTGCGCAAGGCGCGAAATGGCGCCGCGCTTGCCCAAGTTTTTCTGGACTGGCGGGAGAAATTTCTTATTTACGGCGACTACTGCGCGAATCTTACCCTTGCGCAAAATACTCTGCAGGAAATCTGCGCGCGTAACGAAGTAGTCAATCAAGAAGTTATTGTAAGTTTCGCAATGCAATTCATGGAAAAAATATTGTTAAAAAATCAAGAGAAACTTTTATATTTTATGCAAGTATTTTTAAGTCTTGTTGCAAAAGAAAAATCTTCTATAAATTATAAATTTCATTAAAAAATGGTTCAAATTTTTAATAGATGATATTTAAATAAATAACAAATTAATAAATAATTTTAATAAATACTTAATTTAAATAAAATTGTATTCCCTGAGACGTTTATAATGAATTATTTTTGTTTTATATTTTTATTTTTATCAGCGAATTCTCTGGGATTTTTTTACAAAATTCGAGTCGACATTCTCATAAAATTAATAATTAATGTAAGAGTGATATATGTATATGTTGCAAATTATTTTAACATTGATATTTATTACAGAGATGTCAACAAGAAGCTAATAACGGTAAATTCAAGCTACGTGATATACTATCTGTGCCGATGCAGAGGGTGCTCAAGTACCACTTGCTGTTGGACAAGTTAGTAGAAGAAACTCCACGTGAATGGGTTGAGGATTGCCGTGCGCTGACGAAGGCGAGGGAAGTAATGGTCGATGTCGCTCAGTATATAAACGAAGTAAAACGCGATTCTGACACACTGGATATCATCAAGGATATTCAAGCGTCGATAATCGATTGGGATGTACCCGAAGACGCACAGTTGAAAGATTTCGGCCGATTACTTCGTGACGGCGAGTTGAAGGTTCGCTAAATATTTTTTTCACGCTAGAGAATATTTAGAATCAGTGCATAAAAAAGTTTTAATTTCGGTACTTTAGTTTTTTAATTTATTTTAAAAGATTAACATAAAAAGATGTAAATTAGTTAGATATAATCTCTAATCGTTTTGAATTAATTCTTCTACAGGTGAAGGCTCACAACGATCACCGAATAAAGGCTCGTTACGCGTTTGTATTCGAGCAAGTAGTATTGATTTGCAAAGCGGGCAGAGGAGACCAGTATTGTTATCGGGAAACTTTACGATTAGACGATTATAGATTAGAGGATCCTATAGGACGAAAAACCTTGGGTAGAGATTCGCGTTGGTCCTATCAATGGATACTTGTACAAAAGCAGGGAAGCACGGCCTACACATTATACGCAAGAACGGAGGAGCAGAAGTTGATGTGGATAAAGGCGTTGCAAGACGCGATGGATAATGTCAATCCCGCGGCCTGTCGCAATACTAATCACAAGTTCAAATTGACGACGTTCGATGCTCCTAGGAGCTGTCAACGATGCGGAAAGTTTCTCAAGGGCCGCATATTCCAAGTAAATAGTCAATTAGTAGAACACATTTAACCGTTTGCTTAATTGCGCCATTAATTACTTGTAAAACTGACAATTCAAGTAGACATACAAAAAGTGGATGAAAATTCACACTGATTCAGAAAATAAAATTAATAGGAATCGAGAATTTAATTAAAATTAAATTATCTAATTTTCTTCAGAATTGAAAATATTTTTTTTAAATGTAATTTTGTACATACTTCTTAAAGTTCAAGATTTAAATGAGATTTTAAACAATTTGAAATTACAATTAGTATTTCTTGTAATCGCATACAAACTCTAATTCTCTTTGAGCAAACATTAAGAAATCTCGAGATAAAACTGTCAAAAGTTACAGCGATGTTATTTCGAATTAATAAAAAAAAACTTGTACAATGTATTTTTACAGGGTTACAAGTGCGAGATATGTCGCCTAGCTGTACACAAACAATGCATCGCGCATTCGGGTCGTTGTGTGCCTACGGCGCCGCTATTGACACCGCCTCCACCGCTACCCTGCGAACGCGCGCTCGCCGTGAAGCTGTGGTTTGTTGGAGAGATGGGAAGAGATGCAGCGTCTAACAAATTGGAATCTCGCGAAGACGGCACGTACATGTTGCGTGTCCGTCCAGCTGGACAACCACGTCTTAAATATGAAACTAATTACGCGCTTAGTATCAAGTAAGTGTATTCAAATGTATAACAATATTTTTACTCAAGAAAAATACCAGAGCTTATCAACTTCCATGTCTGTATTCTAACTAAAAAAAATATTTGAATCATACATATTGTATATATTCCATCGTTTCATGAAAGTTTTAATATTTATTAATATAGTAATTAAAAATTAATAATTTTGATACTTACAATTAGATCAGATTATTAAATATACAATTAAATATCTTGTTCTCATAAAATTCAAATTTCCTTTTTTTATTATATTCCTTAAATGTTTTAAAATATTTTTTTATTGTAGCATACTTTAATCTGATAAATTTTAGAGCGGAAGGAGCAGTAAAACATATTCGAGTGTTCAAACGTGATGTGGACGGTGCGGATCTATATTATCTCAGCGAGTCCCGATTTTTCAAAAGCGTCGTCGAGTTGGTCGAGTATTATGAGCGGGCGTCGTTATCGGAAAACTTTGAAAAACTGGATCAGCGTCTTTTGTGGCCGTATCGACGAGTCCTAGCTAAGGCACGATTTGACTTTCGCAGCACCGAACGTAATCAATTGAGCCTGCGACGCGGTTGTCGCATCGTAGTCCTAAGCAAGGAGGGCGATGCCAAAGGATGGTGGAAGGGTAAAATAGGCGATCAAGTAGGATTCTTTCCAAAAGATTATGTGGAAGAAGAGTAGAACTATTAAAAATTATTTAGATCATTGCCTATATAGAATTTAAAAAATTGTAATTTAAAATTTTAAGTGATTTTTATATATTGTGTTTAAATAATCTATAATTTTTTTATATTTGAATTAGAGTTGATGGTGAAAACGATTGAAATATTTCGTATCATGCTGATTTATATCTTTGTTTGTACAATTTTGCTACTTTTTAAAATTTTTAGTTTCTTAAATCTTAAACTTTTTTTAGTTTTATAAAATTGTATCTTTTTTTCTTTTCTTTTTATAATATGACTGATATTTTAGAATTAAATATGAAAAAATTAATGTATGGAGGATAAAAATGAGAAGATATTTTTAATGTTTTAAAATTTTATTATTCGTAAAAAATTATTTATATTCTGAAATATAGATAATTTCTTGTTCTGAGAAACAATCGAAAATTTTATCTATTGTATATATCTTGTTTTTGTTTCACAGTTCTGTGAAAAAATTTAGTATGAAACCAATACTTTATACGCAATGATCTGATGCATTTAATATGCATTAACTTCTGGATGGTCAATAAATACGATATGCCGTGGTAATCACTTATGGTGCAATCATGGTAATTCTATTAACGTATACCTCAATAGGAAAAAATAAGAGGAACGAGTTTAATTGCGAAGCAATTTTGCATATAAAAAAAAGAGAAAACCCTAAGTAAATTTACAATTATTCTTATGCATCGCACGCACACAATTTCGATGTTACTTGTTTTCTTAGATTTTATGAGATCCGAATGCATCACATACGTATATTGTTGTAATGCATATTTGGCGCTACGCTTAGACGAATATCTTAGCCACATGTATAGAATTATAAAGAGGACAATTATTTTTTACTGTGACGTCATTTCTAGTTATCACTAGCAGGCGATACATCATAAAGATTAAAGTTGTTTGTCCGAAAAAAATGCCTTTAGTAAAATATATATTATGCATATACTACATATAGAATATCCCTAAAAAGATGGGAATTGAATTGTCTTTTTAAGAAATCTCGAATGTTTTCTTAAAAAAAATTAAAGAAATAAAGAATTTTTGGCTGCATAATTTTGCTGCATTTGAAGTTTATTGATAAAAAGATGTCTACTATCAATTCCCATTTTTTTATAGACATTGCTTATATAGTGGCCTATATGTTGCTGACAACTTTCTTCTTTATGATCAAATTTTAGAGTCAATTGTTAAATATCAAACTGTACATATACCATAATCTTCTGTACAATGAGTAACAGATACTTCTAGTTACATTTAAGTTGCGAACAAATGCATATAAATTATACACAGGATGTTCGATAATTGGAGAACAAAAGCAGCAATTTCTTATTATAAAATCCATTTGTTATATCCATGATTTATTTTTGTTATAAATTATATTCATTTTATATGTATTAATTATAGCTATCATTCATTTTGCGAGCGTTTAATCTTACAACTTTTGACGATTTTTGACATTTGTTAACTTTCATAATTTTATGTTTGAAAAAAGAAAAATATTACAAAATATTTTATTTAATGATAATACATAATAATATCGATAAAATTGTTTCTTCGAATTATTATTTGGAACCACGTTAAGTTAGCTCATAAAAAAAACTGCCTAAAAATCTTATATTTTAACTTATTGTAAGCTCAATTATGGTGCCAATCAAAACTGTCCACAGGAAACGATAAATTTAAAATTGAAAGCTGTGGAAAAGTATATATCAAATCTAATTTAATAGTTCACAATTTGCACAATAAAACATTGTTGCTCCAAGTAATTGAATTAATTATCAAAACTTAATTCTATAAAACTGAGAAGTTATTCTCCTGCAGTTATATTACTGATTATCGAACAACTTCTGTATAGATACATAAATATATATATATATATATATATATATATATATATATATATTTATTTCTCGAGATATATACATACATATATATATATATATATATATATATATATGTATATATGTGTATATAAATTTAAGTACGAGAAATTAATTTTACTATTTTTTAATTGTTAGATATATTTTTCTGAGTGTGCCAATAAGAAATTCTATCAATAAAGGATCTTATCGAGATGTTATATAAATGCTTACATAATGGTTTTTTTAATCAATATTCGTTTATTTAATCAATATTTTTAATTAATTATAAATTTCTTTTATTATTCTTTCAAATCATCTTCATTTATTTTTTCACTTATTCTAAATTCTGATTGTTTACGATAAACAATAGAAGCAACTTTTTGCTCTATTCTTTTACAACCAGCCATCGAGTACAGATTATACGGTTCGGGACCAAAAGTTAAGTGTGACAGTGCCTCCTCTATCATTTCATTTTTTGCAGTGACACCTCGCTCGAGGAAAGCCTTTACCAGACACTTTCTAATGTGCACTTCTTCTAGGGGTAGGAAAGGTACGTAGTGATCGATTACACTGGTCTGTATAGTGTCACTATGATGGAAACCACCTTTTTCACCAAACGCACCATCAGCTATCAATTTCTCAAAATCCTGCAACCGAGTGTCCTCCCGTCTGTTACCCTTTTCCCACAGACCTGTGAGATGCTGCACTATTTGAGCGCTCCCAGTATTCGAGAGGAATATGAAAATAGCCTTATTCTGATACACAGACTGGCTGTTCTTGGAAGATTTGTGATAGACGTTGTAGTCGAGAAAAGGAACCAATACGTTCAGTAGACCTTCTGGCATTTTGTCTACTTCATCAAAGACAAATAACGATCTCTCACATGTTTTTAAGCCATCAGAAACAATTTTGTACAGATCTTCCTATAGAAACAGAGAGAGCTTATGTTCACTAACTTATTTTTGACTTTATTATAATGAATGTTTTATTTGAATATACCTTGTATTCGTCTACTTTTTGTTTTAAAGGAAAATCATTGCGGCCATTGAAGAAATGGTAATATTTACTCTGAATGCCTTCTTTATAAAGCGCTTTGGCAATCATTTGCGCTACATAATTCTTGCCAGTTCCTGGTGTGCCATGAAAACTCATGACCAGTGCTTTGGGTGAATTTTGACTTTCCAAATGTCCCCGTAGTGCATTTATGATTGTTTCATGAGCAATTTGTTGCCCATATAATTTAGCAGTGAACATATATTCCAGTCCTAAAAATTCAAATAATTAAATTACTAATTATAATTTGTTTGTTTCAGGATTTTTGAATGTATAAGGAGTTTCAAAAGATATTACATCTTAAAAATCAAACAAGTAACAGAAACAAAAAATTTTTCACATATGTATAAATTAGAATATTAATAAATATAAATTAAATAAATTATAAATTATATATATTAAATTAAAAAAATTCCTTGACTCTCCACACTAAGTTTATACTTACTGTCCAAATCGGAAGGGATATAATCATCTATACAGCATTCCGTGTACCTACATTTGTACTTTTCGTATCCATAAAAGCTTACACCGCCTAACAATGAAGCGACCGAGCCTACCAGACCGATCGTAAGAATTTCCCCTAATGTGAGAGCAACAAGTGAGAGGATGAGCAAAGCCACGAAACCATATTTAATTGTAAAATTCATATTTAATTATAAACTATTTCTTCACTCGTTCAATGAATCTTCTGCAGCATCCCATAACTAGCGGCTGTAGTATCACATAAAAGTCTGGGATTTATGGTCTCGAAATAAGTACAACGTTAATTGAGTAAATATATATCACGACGAAATTCGGAATGTAACTCGATATTTAGAATTTCAGACAAGTCTAACAAAGATCGGTTTCTAATTGTTGATCCTCGTTTCGTTCGATTTGATTATAAACACCTTGTGTTGTCAGCAAATTATATTTTTTAGATTTTTCGTTATATATATATATATATATGAGTGTCAAATAATAAAATATTCATAAAATCGCATATTTCATCATAATTTAGTTACGAATTATAACTCATTTTTTTTATTTCATCTAACTTTTACTTTGTTTACTATACTTTTCTCTCTTTCTCTTTAAAGCCCAAAGTATCTAATTTCTAAAGACCGTATCACAATAATCGTAAATAAGCCTCGCGAGTTGATTGGCTGTTGCTGGGGGAAACTGTTGAAGACCTAGAAATTCCCTAGCCGTCAGCCAATCGCGCGACGATTAAAAATCAAACTTGACATTTCATGTAGACAGGACTTTAGGTACGATCGTGTCGCTGTCAACATCGCACGGTGTCCTTGAGAAGCGATCTGCGTTTGAAATCGTGCAAAAAGTCTGGAGAATTTTTAATTTATTCTTCCTGAAATCGTGCCGAAGAGCACAAATATAATAAACCGATGATAGTACGAAATTATCAGTGTCGATCAAAAACGCAGACCGAAAGGTCACCTGAGTCTATCCGAGTTCGCGGAACACGCAATAATCAACGCATTGTTGCTTATATCTTATTACAACGAATGTGCATGTCTACTTGAAAGTCGTACAGAAAGGAGTACGGAATTGCGGAAAGATTGACGGAATGGCAACTAAGGACGTAAATAAGGATGTTGAGGACTATATCGTCCCTTCGGGAAGCAAGCTGTTTACGAAGGCACAAGTAGCTAAGCATAACGATCCCAAGGATACGTGGATCATCATTCATAATAATGTTTACGATGTTACGTCCTTCCTCGATGAGGTTCAATTTTTTCACTTCTTTCCAAACAATAAACTATATATACCGGGTGACTCGCGTTTTACACGTTAATGGGAGATTCCTGAGACAATTTGGAGACGATTTTTCCTCAGCGAAAATGATAAGAAAGGTCATCATTTTTTTAATGTTCATAATTTTTTAAATCGTGTATCTATCCCAGATAGCACCATGTCTAAAATGCACGCATAAGTCATCATTAAGAAATCTTTAAGACATCTTTAAGACATCTTTAAGAAATCTTATGATATGATATCCCAAAGACATCTTGAAAACATCTTAAAGATGTCTTATGGGTGCATTTTGGACATGGTGCTATCTGGGATATAACTAAGCCTTAAATTAAAATTCTATTACAGTACCCTTTACTTGAAATTAACTAAAAAAATATAGTTTTGTTAATGATTTATTTTTACAAGGCTTAGTTTACAGAAAAACTTTTATTTTCAATCATTTATAACTCAAAAATTATTGGTGCCTGGACATTTTCACTGAGGAAAAATCGTCTCCAAATCGCCTCAGAAATCTCTCATTAACGTGTTAAACGCGAGTCGCCGGACATCCTGTATAGACCATGTTATATATCAACTGATTACTTTCACAGAGTCTCTTTGTTATTTTGAATGCATACTTAAATGTCGATTTTCGTATCTTATTCGTTCAAGTTATTAATAATTTGCTGGAAATCTAATGTTTAGTCTGATAAAAATATGTTTGATATATTGCTCTTCACTTTTCTTGTAAATTGTTTGATATATTTATATTATTTATATTCTGTATAGCATCCTGGGGGCGAGGAGATACTCGTGGAACAAGGTGGGAACGATGCCAGTGAGCTATTTGAAGATATCGAGCACTCTATTGATGCAAGAAAACTTATGAATTCGTTTAAAATTGGAGAATTGATAGAAGTAAGAAAATGTTATATTATTTTAAAAAATGAATATTTTTCTCTTTCATTCTTATTGTTAAAAAATATATATCTGATCTGAATTTAGGAAGAAAAGAGGTATCAAAATGTTGAAGAAATAGAGAGCGATTGCTCCAGTCAGTTCAATGAAGCTTCTAAGGAAGAGAAATCTAATAAGTATGATCCCTTTTTTTTAAGCCCAAAGCATCTAATTTCTAAAGACCGTATCACAAACAAGCCTCGCGAGTTGATTGGCTGCTGTTGGGGTAAACTTTTGAAGCCCTAGAAATTCCCTAGGCGGCAGCCAATAGCGAGACTCTTTTTGGGCGACCCATGAACAATGGCGTAGCAATCTAGCCTCGCTATTGGTTGCTGCCTGACGCGTCCTATCTGCATGAATCTGTAGCAACTTTCATGTGGACAGAACTGTACGATCGTGTCGCTGTCAACCTCGCGCGGTGTCCTTGAGAAGCTATCCGCGCTTGAAATCGTGCAAGAAGCTTGGAGAAGTTTCTATTCATTCTTCCTGAAATCGTGCCGATCAGAGCAAATATAATAAACCGATGGTAATACGAAATTATCGGTGCCGATTAGAAACGCTGACCCAAAGGTGACCAAAGTCTATCAAAGTTCGCGGAACACAATCGACGCATTGTTGCTTATCTTATTACAACGGACGTGCATGTCTATTTGAAAGTCGTATAGAAAAGAGCACGGAATCGTGGAAAGGTGCTGAGTCAGTCGTCGCAAATCGTCATTCGGAGAAGAGTCGTAAATCTTTCTGGGGAGGACGACTTTGGAAGGAACATCCAGCGATTCACGAAATGGCAACTAAGGACGTGAAGGATGTTAAGGACGATACCGCCTCATCGGGAAGCAAGCTATTTACGCGGGCAGAAGTAGCCAAACATGCCGATCCCAAGGATACGTGGATCATCATTCATAATAATGTTTACAATGTTACTTCCTTCCTCAACGAGGTTCAATTTTTTCACTTCTCTCCAAACAATAAACTAGACCATGTTGTATCAACTGATTACTTTCACAGTGTCTTTGTTATTTTGAATACACTTAAATGTCGATTTTTGTATCTTCATTCAAGTTAATTTGCTAGAAATCTAATGTTTAGTCTGATAAAAATATGTTTAATATATATTCACTCTTTATTTTTCTTGTAAGTTGTTTGATATATTTAGATATGTTTGTTATTTGATTTATTTATATTATTTTTATTCTGTATAGCATCCTGGAGGCGAGGAGGTACTCTTGGAACAAGGTGGGAACGATGCCACTGAGCCGTTTGAAGATATCGGGCACTCCACTGATGCAAGACTAATGATGGAGTCGTTTAAAATTGGAGAATTGATAGAAGTAAGAAATTTTATATTATGTTTAAATTAATTTTATTTTATTTTCATTCTTATTATTAAAAAAATATATATCTGAATTTAGGAAGAAAGGACAAAAGATAATGAAAAAAAAGAGAGAGATTGGTCCAGTGGAGGTGCTGACGAAGACAATTCTAGGTATGATCTCTTTTTCATTTGCATATCATGCAAATTTTACTAAGACTTATTGTTAAACACTAACAATTCTAACATTTCAGATTTTCTAGATAGGCATACTTTTTATAATTAATCATTTTTGTCGTTTCCCTCTTCCCAAAGGAGCTTTTTAAATTCAGTGAATTCTCTCTTTCTTTATTTTCTCTGTTTCTATCCTCTCTTTCTTTATCTTCTCTTTTTCTATCCTCTCTTTCTTTATTCTGTCTCTCTATTCTCCTCTCTCTATCCTCTTTTTTTCTGTCCCTCTATTTATTTTTTTTTTAATTTTATTTATACAGATAGTATGAACATATAAACTCTGTAAAACAAAAAATATCATAAATATTTTATTGAATTTTATCTACTAAACTAGGAAACTTTTATATTTGCATATTTTACAAGAGTGTAATAATTATTACAATTGATAACTTTGCATCCTTTTTATGTTAAAAAACTACCAAAAATTTCAAATTTAATTGCATCATATTATATAAACTTATATAGTTATATAAACTTCATACTTGTTTATCATATTTTAATATCACGTGAAAATTTATGAATACTTATAAATAATAATATTTTACAAGTCATTTTATAAATGTTAATGCTTTATTTGCATTATCTAACAACATGCGGAAGCATATCTTTTATTTTGTATAATTGTAAAACTCCAGTTTTTTTACGCTTTTATTTTTTCTTGTTTTCCAAAAATTTTTTTATCTATATTTTACTTTTATTGTTTTTTATATTTTTTTATATATTTTTAATTATCTTTTTTTTTTTTTTTATCTGTAGAATAGCTCACTTGTGTTTCATAATTTTCACATCTGCAAAACTTTAGTTAATACAAAGTGTTCATACTATCTAAATTGACAAAAACTGAAAGTTTGTTTTTTTTAAGTAATATCATGTGTAAAAATAGTCGATGCTGCATCGTGATGTGATGATTGGCAATTGCAGTTCTTGGCGGTCCTGGTTGATCCCGATCGCCCTTGGGGTGCTCGCGACCCTCGTCTATCGCTACTTTATCAGCTCACATTAAGGCGTTGCGACCTGGATCTTTTTCTTCGCGTTATTTACTTGTTACATACATGTATATCGATATCTATCGCTATATGATCGATTGTTGTACATTTTATCCGAAATGTATGTCGCACACTTATATTATAATTGTTTTCTATAAACCAAATAGCATTTGCTGGCCTAGCAGTTGAACCGTGAGAGAAAGAGAAAATGGCCAACGATGTATTATATAATATGCAAATAACGCGCATTTATATATTTATATGTATACGCTTGTATACAGACTGGTATATATATGCATGTGTAACATGTAGCGTTCGTACGCGACATTGTTCTCCGAAATTTGTGACGAAATATACTAATTTAATTCCTTAGAAAGAAGAGCCTCCTCAAAAAAAAAACAAAAAAAGAAGTAAATCCCGTCCTTAAATCCTCGAGCGGTAAAATTGGTTTAGGCGCATACAAGAGGACGAAAATTATTTGCAAAACTGATACTATTATTAATCAAATTGTATACAAAGTATTTATTCAATTGATCTCTGATCATACTATTTGTACACCTTGCAGCAGATTTTTGTCGAGAAGGCTGCTTCAATCGTCAATCAAAAGAACAAGTGGCAATATTTGAAAAATAATACTTTTATATAACAAGTATATATATATATATATATATATATATATATATATATATATGATGAAGAATTATATAATCATTTACTTATTTTTCTATCAATTTATGTACCAATAAAACGTGATGAAACTCGAACTGTAGTAGTATAATATCACGTGCAGTTATGTCATATATACATCGAAAGTTTATATGTAATATATAATTCAAAAATAGAGTAACATATATATATATATATATACATATATATATAAGAAGTTTATAATAGTCTCAACTTTATAAATTGATTGATATCAAATTATATTTTCAAAATGGAAATAAATTTGCATAAAGGTTCATTAAATTACATTTTGTAAAAGAATTTATGCACCCAAAAATATATATATATATATATATATATATATATATATATATTATGTATATAAAATTCATAAAAATTAAGATTCTCTATTTAAAAAAAAAAAAAAATGTGTAAGCATATTTATTTGAATTCGGACATGTGTAGGGAATCCGAGGAAACGCGCAACAGGGTAAGAAAATAAAGCGACCGGGATACTGCAAGAGGTGTCATCGACATCCCGTCGTAGACCAGCGATCCTGCTCCTGCACGCAGGAGGCGCGTGATAAGCGCGGGCTAACCGATGAAGGCTTCACACATGGAATAAGGATTCTCTCTCGGTGGCGTCGCCCCGTCGTCGATATCGAGCGAGCTCTCGGACGCGACGCGCGCCTCGTGTCGCGCCGACTCCTCCTCGCTTCGCCTCCTCCGGTGGTTCTAGTAGACCTCACCTCCGACGAACGCCCAGTAAAGCGCGAGAGCTCGTCGAAGGTGTGTCGCGAAGAGTAAGCGCATCGAGGCGTCGCCGATAATTCACTTAAAAGAGAGGATATTGAGAAAAAGGATCCCCGGAGAGTAAACCGAGGTCGAGCATTGCGCGAGAGCGAAAGCCACTCGGGGACGACGAAGTTAAAAGGCGTTCAGAAAGAGAGAGAGAGAGAGAGAAGATACTGCAAGAGAGGAGACCCGGTCCCGGAAGGGTAGATTGGCCGACGTGGGGTGGAAAAGGAAGGAGTACGAGTAAAGGACGAGGACGACGTGAGGACAGCAGCTGCGTTAGGCGCGAACGGCGGTGGTTGCATTGAAAAGTAGCGGCGTGGTGTCATGAGAGGCGGTCTCACGGTCCGCCCTTCTTATCGGTCCCTCCAAGAGTCATGCATGTCGCGCCCCTCAAACGAGGTAAGTGCGTATTAATCGCCGGAGCAACCCTCTACTCAGGGATCGCTCTCGACGATATCGGAGCCGGTTGCGTCTATTTCGGCGAGAGCATCTTCCGACTTTTGTCTTTCAAAAGGTTCGTTCAATCGCGATTTATTTATTCATTAATATAGCTAGCTTTAAACAAAGGATTAATTAAATCTTTTGTTTAAAGCTAGCTATTAATGAAGGCTTTTGTTTAAAGCTGGCGATTAATTAATATCTTTAAGCAAGAGTGTCTTCGAGGATTTATTTTTCAAAAGATTGATTAATTCGTAATTAATTTATTAATTGATATCTTAGTTTAAGAAAGAGTATTTTCCAAGTTTTGCTTTTCAAAAGATTTATTCAATCGCGATTAATTGATAAATTCATATCCTAGTTTAAACAAGAGTATCATCAAAGTTTTGCTCTTAAAAGATCAATTAAATTGCGATTAATAAATTTATATCCTAGTTTAAGCAAGAGTATCTTCGAAGTTTTGCTTTTTTAAAAGATCGATTAAAATGCGATTAATTAAGAAATTCATATCCTAGTTTAAGCGAGAGTATCTTCAAAATTTTGCTTTTCAAAAGATCGATTAAATTGCGATTAATGAATTAATAAATTAAAATCCCAATTTAAGCTAGAATATCTTCGAAGTGTTGCTTTTCACAAAATTTATTAAGTCGCGATTAATAAATTAATATCCTAGGAAAAATTATTAAAATTGTTCTAAATGAGTTTACTTTATTTTTATATCTGTTTCATAAGAAAGACTGATGCAATCAGCTTTAAGAAACTGTTTATATAATATAATTGTTTATTTACACCGAGAAAAAAAGTTGTTAACTAAATCGTACGACTAATTGCTATTTTGTTAATTAAACACATACAAGTATTCGAATTAAAATACAACATATCTAATAAGTCTAATATAACGTTTTTAGACTTAAATACTTATATATGTTTAATTAACAAAATAATAATTAGTTGAACGATTTAGTCGACAACTTTTTTCTCAGTGTACTTTATTATTGTTTATTGTGGTTTTTTGTGTGTGTGTGTGTGTGTGTGTGTATATATATATATATATACAATTTTTTATTTCGTGAGAACTTGAAGAATTTGATAAAATAGCACTCCCATCTGAAGAAACATTAGCTAGTAATGTATTCTCATTCGAAAAGGAGATTTAGATCATTATGCCATAAACCTCTTTTGATTAATGATCGTACATTTTGCTGATATACGTTCATTTTGTAATGGACACAATTGGCAAGCTTTTTCTGATTACTTGCACTAATTGAATGGAGACTAGAATGAAGAGTTCGAAAATTCAGGAATAATAAGTAAAAACTATTTTAAGTAAATTAATTTTACACTATAATATCCCTACAATATAATTATCGTGAAAAAGAGAAAGAATGAATTAAATTACGATTATAAATTAATCAACTTAATTGAAATCAACCAATATTTAAGTAATTGCTCATTTACTAATTATCTATTTTATCTACTGATATTTTACTGAAAAATTTAGAAGTTTATCTCGTTGCAAATAGATCAATTGATGACGAGATTAATTATTATTGAATAATGCGCACGTGTTACATGCGCATATTATTATATCAGAAATTAATGTCCGGTATTATGCAATATTGCATAATGCAAAATTTTGATTGACGATTTAGTTTACGGGAAGAGGAAAACGAGATTAATAATTCTTGTCTAAACATGTCTAAAAGATAATTTTTTCTTTTTTTTTGTTTAGTAAGACAAATCAATCATTGATACAATTATTTAATAACAATTTTAAATAAGATTCAAAATTAAAAATTAAATCAAAATTCAAATATTGTGCGTGTTAAACAACTAAGCAAAGCAAATATAACAAAAATAAATTATTGGCATTTCTATTTAAAAGTCAATACCAATCGTGGTTTAGTCTTCTTCCTTTATCTAAAAATAGCAATGAAAAACGAAAATATTCTTATAAAATTATTCTTATCATACACAGATTTAGAATATCTTACATCTTCGAAATATTATCCCAGGCAATACTATCTCAGTTCTGAGAATTTGAGATTGCATTGGGGAGACATTCTGCGAATATAATCAGGCCTATTAGCATCCTAAGACGGATAGAGGAAAGTGCGTTTTCACTTTAGATTCATGAAAGAAGAGAGAGAGAAAAATTTCAGTTATTAAAATAATTTTCTCGTACCACACACATATTTCCAAATTATCTTTATTTTCTTTCTTTCGTAATATAAAATACGGATCAGGCAATTTATCTCAATACTGAATTAGTAACGTCATATTTTTCTAGCTGTAATATTAGGGAGATATTCTTATTAATTATTAAACGTGAGTAGTTAAAGGTCAGCAGGAAGGACATACAAGGCGAAATATTCTTTGTGATCGATGAAAACCGGCACCTTTGCACAATCGTTAAGGAACGAGAATGAAAAAATATGTAGGTTTCATATAACCAATTTAGATTTCAATAACCAGTTAAAAATTGGATTTCCGTCATATGAAGAAAGATATTTTTCTCGTATAAAAAAATATTGAAACTTTTAACAGAATCGATTACGAATTTATTATATATAGTCAGCACAAAAGAAATTAAAAAATTCGCAAAGTATTTTCTTCCACGATAGATTTTAGAAACATTCTTTTTTTTCATAAAGTATATATAAGATGGGATAATTTGAGAACAAAAAATCATTCTCGTATTTTTGTCGATATTCAATGAATAATGCAATCTTATTTTATAACTATCATTTCTAAACATAAATGTGTAGGTGTATAATGAAACTAAAATATCAGAAAAATTTAATACAAAAATAAAATCAAGAAATAAAAATAAAATATCAAAATAATTTAATGTAAAAGTAAGAGAAATAAATTAAAATCAGACATACATTTGAATAAATTAAATTATTTTTATTTTTAAATACTTTTAAACTCAAAATTTGACTTTTAAAAAATATTTGTTTAGATAGTGCAAATTTTAGAATTTTAAAGAAGGAACAACTCGAATTGCTTTCGTATTTTAGCCACTTGGTGAGGCAAATATTTTCGGGACCATATTTCTCGAATTAAGCTCGCAATCGAAAGCAATGAGTGTTTTGTGCCGCGAACGCACTCAAATAAGTTAACAAGTTACGAAAAACCTGTTGGTCATCCTCGTGGTCGAAATGTTGTGTGCCAAGAAGATGTGTCCGGTAGTTACACTCTCAATCGCTCAAGTCTCAAGAGATGTTTGCTAATTATAAA